CAACAATAAACCAGGACTAAACAGACCTAAACCAAGACTAAAACAGGACTAAACTAGGACTAACCCAAGTAATAAACCAGAAACTTGCCACCTGCTTGTCTTGGAGATGAGTTTAATGCTACACTGTGGAACATTCCAGGCAAAGCAAGTTAGAGCCCGCTTAAAGTTCCAATATTTTGCAAAACTGAATAGTGCATTTTGAAATAGACGGCCGTGCTTCCTTTTTGAGTCGAGAACAGAATGGGCATAAATGATAAATGATTTTAATTATTTTGGTACTATTTCTGCGCTGAGTACAGACTGCACTATAAGCTTCATTTGATATAGACTATATAATGAATTAGTCTTATGTAACCCTTTTCTCCGCACGCAAAGTAGCTTTACAATTTTATGCATTATTCATTCACTCACTCCACAATCACAGCTCTGCTCACGCTGCTTTTCTGACCACCACCAATCACTCACACAATCTGCATTCAGACAGAGGGCATCTGAGTTAAGTGTATTGCCCAAGGACACTGATCTGAGTTGAGATTAAACCACAAACTTCTAGGTGTAACTTGGCCTTATGTACACCGTTGGAACTGGTACTTTGCAGATAATAAAACTGATAAATTACCTCTCGTTAAGTTATCTTAAAGTCCTATATTATGCAAAATTGACTCTTGTGAGATTTAAGTCATGTTGGAATGTTATTATCTCCTCAAAAACATACTTAGAGTTGTGGTTTGTTTCAATCACATGTTTAAGTAACCCTTTAGTATTACCGTAAATTCCAGGCTATTTAGGGCACCCGAATATACACCGCATCAACAAAATTTTAACTAAATTTTTAAAATTGTACATATCTAGACCTGAAGATAAGCTGCAGGTGTCCACGTCTTCAACCAAACCAAACCAGAACCAAACCAGAACTAAACCAGGACTAAACCAGGCACTAAACTAAGACTAAAGTGGAACTAAACCAAATATAAATCAGCACTTAACAACAATTAATCCAGAAACTAACTAGGCAATACACTAGGTACTAAACCAAGACTAAAGCACTACTAAACCAGGACTGAACCAGGACTAAAACAAGACTAAAGCAGGACTAAACCAGGACTAAACTAAGATTAAAGCAGAACTAAACCAGGACTGAACCAGGACTAAAACAAGACTAAAGCAGGACTAAACCAGGAACTAAACTAAGACTTAAAGCAGAACTAAAACCAGGACTAAAACAAGACTAAACCAGGACTAAAACCAGGACTGAACCAGGACTAAAACAAGACTAAACTGGGACTAACCTGGGCATTAAACTAGGTACTAAACTAAAACTAAAGTGGGGACTAAACCAGGCACTAAACCAAGACTAAAGCAGGACTAAACCGGGACTAAAACAAGATTAAAGCAGAACTAAACCAGGACTGAACCAGGACTAAAACAAGATTAAACTGGGACTAAACCGGGCATTAAACTAGGTACTAAACTAAGACTAAAGTGGGAACTAAACCAGAACTAAACCAAAAATAAGCAGGACTAAACCAGGACTAAATCAGCACTTAACTAGGATTAAACCAGGAACTAATCAGGCAATAAACTAGTTACTAAACCAAGATTAAAGCAAGACTTAACTAGGACTAAGTGTCTTCAAAAACGTTTTCAAGTTCAGGCCGTCTGCTTTTATCGCCTCTGAAAGTTTTTGTCATTTTTTTGCATTGCATCAGTTCGTCACGCTGCCGTCGCCAGCCTCTCACCACGTGTAGCAGCTTGATTTCCTTCTTTGACAGTCATCTGCATTTCTTCGTGTGTTTTCCATGAGGAGGGTGTGTGTATAAATCACAAAATAACTGTTCAAAACACAATCAAATTAGCATCTTCCTCTCCCCGCGCTCTACTGCACATGTCTCCTGCAGAAAGAGTCTCTGTCCTGTCTGGATCATGTCAGTGTCTTGAAGGATGTCAGTAGATTTCAGACTCTCTCGGGGGTGAGGATAGTTCTATCAATCAGGTATGAATAGATGTCAAGGTATTGAAGTTTGAGACGTTTCTTCTTGTCATTTACATATACAGATAAGACATAACCCCTTCACTAATGTTTATTTAGCATCATAACTTATTTTATCACACGGCGATAAACTCACAATATCAATAGCTAGTGTAGGAACTTTATGTTAAGTCAAATCATAGATCGTATATTTGAATGGACAATGTGCCAAACTACAGTAAGAATTCGTCCATATATTCGCCACATTGTTTTATTTGCCGCAGGGTTCAAAGTGTGAGAAAAAAAGTAGCGGCTTATAGTGCGGAATTTACGGTAATCCAAATGCTTTCAAGTAAACAGCTTCCTTTTACCTTCAGTTCATTAGAGATTTGCAATTCTGAAATCACTGAAATTGTCCAAATCTTTCTAGTGAACATGTATGAAACAAAACACAACTCCAGGTCTGTTTGCGATGAGGAAACATGAAGAAACAACAGCGTAACAAGTCTCTCACAGGTAAAATTCCTGCCACAACATAGCCAATAGTTTTTCAGTTAGTCACTCTTGTGTTTTAGTTGTAAGTCAAACTCCTAAACAGGACCATGAACACTCGGACTGGTCACAGGCTTCAGAAAATGTGCTGTATAAAACCATTTTGTTTTCAGACGATATTGAAATTTTTTTGGCTTTATATCACCATGGTAACTCTTAAACTATCTGCCCATAGAGATGAATGTGGAACAGTCCTAGGGATATGTCACTGCAAAGTATCATTTTGATTCTTTGACATTTCAGACAAGAGTGGTCTGACAGGGTTTGGGGGCAAAGATGATTTCAGTTTGATTGTTTGCATTTGGTTGTTGCGTGTGGTGTGCAGAAAATCAGGACAAGCAGTGGTTGCCCAATAAAATCTAAAATCATCGCGTGTGGAAAGTACAATTAAATAGTTTCGAATTATATCCAAATAATCAATTTTTTTCTTCACTTTTGTCCGTTGAAACATGGTTGTAGTGGCGGGGTCCTTTACTACACTCTTCTGGTCACTGAGCAAACTGCAACAACCGCGGTTCTGAACGTGAAATTAACTTGTGTTGTATGGCTTTCTACATGCGTATTTACAACCTCAGAGACCAAACGGTTGTTTCAGAGATTTGCGCATGTGTACTGAGGACAACAGCCGGCTCAAATAGCGCTAAATAAACCCATCGTCCACGGGAACTGGGCATGTGTGAGGGATTCCTAGTGAGTAGGAAACAACAACAGCAGCTCCAAATTTCATTACATGGCTAAAAATAATGAGTGCAATACACATGTGTAGAGCTGTCATATGTCACTCATATGGTTTCCAGATGCATTATAATAAACACATACAGTAATCGCCTCAGCTGCATAAATAAGGTGTAGGAGTAGAAACAAATACGGTCCAATATACGAATATTAACGAGACATTTCGGAATTTTGGACATAGGACCTTATTTCTTAGTGTTGCCAGAGTGTTGGAGACGTGTGGAGACACTTTTTAAAAATATTCCATCCAGTCCATGTATTTGCAGAGGTCGCTGGTGCTAGGCTAGTGCATGTCAATGGCCATAGTTAGCCTCCCACTAAAAACAGTCTTATCCACTCCACAAAACACCCGAAGCAAATCTATTATTACACCAGACTGTCCATGTGAATGTCTGTGTTGATAGAATAATGTCTGAAATAAAACTAACCTTGCACCGCGTGAATCGTCGCATGTTGAGGGACTATTTTCTCATATATCAGTCTGCCGCTGTCAAACTTTCTATCTATACAACTCACTGCTGCTGTTCAGACATAAATCCTTCAAATGCAAGGTTGGTTTTACTTCTAAAATGATTGACTGAGACTGTTTTTAGTGGCAGGATAACTGTGGCCATTGACATGCACTAGTCTAGCACCAGCGACCTCTGCAAATACAAGGACTAGATGGAATATTTAAAAAAGTGTCTCCACACGTGTCCAACACTCTGTCTAACTAGGAAATGAGATCCTTTGTCCAAAATTCCGAACTGTCCCTTTAATAAATTATGTATGTAGGTCAAGGTCTCTCTAATTTGAATCCAGAATGGCTCAGTACACATACAGTTAATGTGTGTAAAAGTAAATATCCTCATTTGCAATGTAGTTAAAAAGCGCCGTTATTAAATTGTTATCGACTAAATATTGATGGCGACCCCAAGTCTGCTTGCCTACCCATAAAAATCACCGCACACTGCTGGTTTACACTGCAAAAAGCAACATCTAGGTAATCTAAAGTGACTTAAATTAAGAACATTTTCCTTTATTTGAGTAGATTCAACTTGACAAGTACAATGTCCTACAAAATGGAATACGTGTGGCAAGATGTATTTTCATATTTTATGTGCAAAAAGTCTCTAGATCACTGTACTTGTCAAGTTGAATCTACACAAATATGTCAAATATTCATAATTTAAGTCATTTTATCTGACCTAGATATTGACATAATGCTCGAGGTGTTCTACGTGTATCTCTATTCGCAAAAGTTCAACAGTTACCATGGTGACACAATGCACATTAGCAAAAACTGGCGAAAATGTTTACATATAGTCTGGAATATCAAGAAAAATTGGCCCATGTTACGCTAAAATGTCCTCGGATCATGATAAAACTTTCTGAACTTGGCTATAGGGATGGTACGAGACGAGATACGAGATTGGGTCCACGAGAAAAGACAAACACGATTCTTAATATATAAATTTCACAATCCATTTTCCAATTTTGGCCTCGCAATTTTGTATTTGATTTAATATTTTTGATTCCATTCTAGTGCTGCTTTTTGGAACTGTAAGAGATGTAACTCATGAACGTGTAACCCTTTTTTATCCAATCCAAATGTAAACACTTGGGAAAAAAATCCCACGAGAATTTTTCTTATGATCTTGTGTCACGAGATCTTGTACCATCCCTACTCGACTGGATTTTGTTTTTTTCCAGTGTTGCACAGTCTGAGTTCTCGGTGCGGTCCGTGTTCAGCCTCAGGACTCACCCTCGCCGGCGTTGTAGGCCAGTATGGAGCGAGTTCTCATCTGTTTGCCCTCGATGGTTTTGCTGGAGCAGGTCTGCGAGCAGGAGGTCCAGGGGGTCCACTCGCTGAGCACGCAGTCTCTGGAGCAGGGCACCTCGCAGGGCTCCGGGGCCGGGGGAGGGGACGAGGAGCACAGCGAGCCGTCCACCTCGTATCCTGCGGGAAAACGAGCACAACATCACATGGTTACTCACACTCTAGCTGGACTTTAAAGGTGGTAGAGGGAACGTCAAATGCTTTTTCTTATGGAGATGTTATTACTTTGTCTGGAATGTTTCCCAGTATGGCATTAAACCTTTCTATCACAGTCAGAATGCCTGTTTTTCTAGGTATTTTCGAGCTGTAAAACCATTTGTAACTGAATAAATGTAGAGGTGTTTAAGGTCATACTGTGGAACATTCCAGTGACATATCCATAGAAACAAGCAGGTGACAGACCCTCCACCGGACAAGTTACTTCGTGCAGCTTTAAAGAGGTGGTATTTTACGTTAAATTTGGTGCACTGTGTAATTATTTTGGTTGGGTGTAGCCTATGCCCTTGTTTCTCAAAGAGTGGGTCGCAACCCTCAGGTGGGTCGCAAGAGATTTTTTTTGGGTCGCCTTGTCACAATCAACATGTAGGTCTGCGATATACAGTTCTGCCTATGCACCTGATCTGCTGCTGCACTCTTCTACTGCACTCGGACTGGAACTCGCTGCAAAAACACAGACAGGCCCACCTATATCATTAAGACATGTTTTGTATAATTTCTTTATTGTAATCATTTTATTGACTATTTTGTTGGTTCAATTGAATGTTGAAAAGAAAAAGAAATGTTCGACATTTAATGTCCAAATAGGCGACTTATGGATCCTTTTATTGCTGCTTCAATGTCTGTTTTTCATTTTTCAGCCGTGACGAAGACTCATAAGAAGTCGAAAAGCGTTGGCGTGTCCATTAATAAATACACCGCCTCTGCCATCCTCTTTCTACTCAACTGTGTTTCATCGTTTAAACTTGAGTAATACTAATTGTTCAGAGAGACACAATCACTCAGTCAAACAATAAAATATCCTCATTAATACAAAACTGAGGCACTGAAAAAGTACAAAATAATTAAAAGCCTTTAATACCAAATGGCAGTTCAAATCACGCTAATGCATTTCGGACCTTCGGCCTTCATCAGGGCAAAACTGATTAATATTATTTGTTAATTAAATAATCAAATAATGGTCAAACAGACCTTTATTTTGTGAGTTACGAATAATGTCTATTGACATTCTACTGGGTCACAAAGATTTATGACTTTTAAAATATGGGTCCCCAGAAAAAAAGTTTGGGAAATACTGGCCTATGTCACCTGCTTGTTTTTAGGATTACATCATTGTTTTGTCTGGAATGTTCCACAGTATGACATTAAACAGCTCTACTTTACATTTATTCAATTACAGGTGGTTTATAGCTCAAAAACACCTAGAAAAACAGACATTCTGAGTGGAGTTGCCTCTCCACAGATCTGACCTGTAACTTGGTCTTCTTTGGTCTCTGTGAAGATTTAATACCATACTGTGGAACATTCCAGACAAAGCACTGACATCTCCATGAAGATCCTCCACCAGAAAAGTTACAGGTATTAAAGTAGGTATAGGGATTAAAATGGATCATTCTACCTGCTGTAAAGTTCCTTCATGAGAAACATGCCTGAAGAGGTTTACGAGTCTTCCATGCATGTTTGAATAATATAGCGACCTCTCCTGGGCTTTATTTGAACCCTGCTTATGGTTACCAGTACGATTCTGTCCAAGACTCAACCTACACGCCTGCGTCACCCATTCCCCACACAGAAGGAACTATCTTAATAAATAACACCACAATTTTAATCTTAACCAGTTGCACTTTCTCTTGCCAACCCTTTATAACCTCATTTCAGAGTTTCCTATTTACTTTAAAGCAGACCTTAAGTAAAATGGACTTTTGAGAACTTTTTTTTTACCATGATATAGCTGTTTCTCCTTCTCAATGACCCTCTGAAGTTGTATTTGGAGCGATTCGTGCACGTTTGAGTCTTTAATCGCTTATTTTCAAGACGCCATTGTGCCGATCAACCCCAGTTTTCACCTGTCACGTATGCACTTCTCCAATTTTATTTTCTTAATTGCTGATACACGTAGGATATAGCAGTACTGCGTAGTCATTCTTGTACAAATGTAAAAAAAAAAAAAATCTGCTCCTCGCTAGTGTGATCTGCAGCTATCCATCAGAGGAAGAGCACACTTGTTTCTTTTATTAAGTCTTTTCAGATAAATATTACGATTTAAACTGTCTAAATTATAACAGATAGATCCAAGGGTGTCATAGATACAGCGTTGTGTACACTATGCGTCTTCTTTAAAGTTATAAGATGTGATATGCCTATAGACTAGTGTCCCAAAGTTTCTAATTCCTGAATAATGCAGGATGTGAGTCACCTTGTGCTCCGAGCTGGATTGTCGCAAGGTTTGAGTTTTCAAAGTCAAACCCACGAAAATCCATCTTGTACGGCTCCTGCTGGTTCATTTGTTCCACACAACTTTTGGATCAAAGAAAGGGCCCATATTAAACTCTTTTCCGATCTATGTTATAATGTTTCCTCATCAAAAACAGACCTGGAAACACATGTTTAACACACAAACCTGAGGCGGAGTTCTGCTTTCAAACAGAAAACACTCTGTTCCCCCTCGTGATGTAGACGGACAGATGTAGTTTCATTCACATGTGTGAGTAAACCTTTATTATTGGTCTGTCTACATCTCCAAAGCTCAAAATGCTCTGCTCCACCTTGTGACGTCATGTAGCTGTAGTTTTCAAGAAGGGATGGGCATTCGATGAAATTTCATTAATCAATCATTGGGAGAATTAACGATCGATTATCGATTAATCATTAACGTTGTTATATAAAAATTATCATCATTATTATTAGTATCTGCACTACTAATCTGCATAAATAAATTCAACTTTACTACATATAAACCGTAACCACTTTAGAGCCACATCAGTTCGTTTGACATTATCATGTGTTTAATGCAGCTTTGCTCAAGTCTCACAGAAACAAAACTTAAAACTGCATGGCTCATTTGCATAAACTAAGCGAAGAAAAAAACAGCTCTTGTGTCGCTGATGTGGTTCAACTTCCGTCGGACAAAAGGACACGACTCGAGGTTAGTGTGACCATATTTGCGTTTGTCAAAACCGTACGGAGGGTGGGAGGTGGGGCCTCGTCATCCACATTGAGCTACTCTCACCTGGCAAAGCTTTTTCATGTTTTTCAGTGTCCTGGTGCTTTGAGGTCCCTGGCACCACCACTGGACACTGAAACACATGTGCTGCTTTGTACACTGTGCACATGGACTCACACTTGTCTCGACCGGGACAAAAAGCGGGGAATTTCTGGTACAAGTCATCGTTAAATACGCATTTCCACTTCAGCTGTCTGTGGTTGCTCGCTCTTTCTGAGTCACAGAGAGATGCTCAGTTTAATGGCCCAATGAAAGTTAATGAAAACCTCAACATTTGCATCACTTTATTAAAAAAAAGCCCAGACGGCTAGGACAGGACGTGGAAAACGGACATGTCCAGGGAAAAACGGATGTTTGGTCACCCTACGCTACACACAGCAACCTACATTAGGTTTGCCAGTTAAAAATTAACTTAATCGACAAAATTCTTAATGATCAATTATCAATTAATCGACTAATCATGCCCATCCCTATTTTCAAGTGAACAGCTACGTTTTAAACATTTGTTCAATAGAGATTGACAATTTGAGGGCTGAAATTATCCAAATGATTCTAGTGAAGGTGTGTGGAGTTTAAAAACAAAGTGGAACAATTGCTGTATTACCACATGACATCACAAGGTGGAACAGAGTGTTTTGTTTCTTGTTTGTTTGAGAGAAGAACTGAGCCTAAATGTGCAGGGTTTGTGAATTAAACATGTGTGAATGAAACAAAACACAAGTCCAAGTATCAGATGAAGAGAAAAGGTAAAGTGCTTCACTGGGGCATAAAAAAAGTTTTTAAAAAATAGCAGTACAGGTGCTCTACGAGGGTTGATTTTTAAATTCTCAACTTTTTTTGTGGTACTTTATTGTCCCTGTAGGCAAATTGTCCTCTGCATTTCACCCATCCTTTCAGGAGCAGTGGGCAGCACATGTTGCGCCCAGGGACCCATCTCCATGATCTTTTTGCTTGGCTTGGTCAGGACGTGAGTTGGAGGATCTTTACCTTCCTCTGGTGCATGTGTTTAGGGTTGATGGGGGAAACTGGAGTGTCTGGAGGAAACCCACCAGAACACGCCAGCTCCACACAGAAAGACCCGGGCGACAACTCCAGGTCTGTTTGTGACGAGGAAACAACATTTTAACATAAAGTAGATCAAAAAATAGTGTAATACGGTCCCTTTAGAGGTTCACTATGTAACTTTTCGGTTGTCGTCTTCTTGTTCCTATGTCACTGCTCTACTTGGAATGTTCCACAGTATGACTTTAAACAGCTCTACTTTACTTTTATTCAATTACAGGTGGTTTTATAGCTGAAAAATACCTAGAAAACAGGCATTCTGATTATGACCGGGGTTGCCTCTCCACAGATCTGACCTATAACTTGATCTGGTTTGGTCTCCATGAAGACAGAAAGGTTTAAAGTCATACTGCGAAACATTCCAGACGAAGTAATAATTAAGTAATATCTCCATGAAAAAGCATTTGCTGGATCCTCCACCATACAAATATGACTAGAGCTGCCCATAGAGCATAACTGCATAAAAGACAACAGACTTCCACGAGTGAATATAAATGATTTTACACTCATGAACTTAATTGAAACACAGACATATTTGGTATCTCTGGAAACCTTAGACTCTGAACTCTTCATTTATGGATGTTTAAATGTGATTCAACTCATTTACAGGTTTGTAACAGGGTCCGGTCAAGTGGTAACGGAGGGAAACGGGTCAGATTTTTGACATTCAAATGTCTCTTATTCAGAAACTAGAGGGACTATTGAAATAAGTAAAGTATCAGAATGTAGGAAAGAGTTACACTCCAACAGGGTCAAGTTAAACCTGTGATATTCTTTCAAGTTGTTGACAAAAAATTTAAAAACTCATGTTGGTAAAGGAGGGAATGAAATATGCAGC